CCAAGAAGGGCCTGGGCTACTTTGCTCGTTACGCGCCCTGGCTTGAAAAGGAGTGGCAGAACGGAACGACCTGCAATTGTCGAACACTAACCAAGAGGTCAAGCCAACGCCTATCCTGTTGCCCATCAACATCTTGGAGGACTTCACAAAGCCGTCGGAAGCTCAGTCAGTTATATAATATTCTTAATTTTGACGAAGGAAGTCAGTGTACGCAGGAATCCTGATGAATCCCGTGCCATGTTACCTGATCGGCACCTGATCGGCTCCTTTTGCTGCTCTTGCAAACTCACCCCCGTCCTGTTTGCACTTCTGGGAAGCAGTGCGTCCCGCACCGACTGATAGATCATGATTGATCTACATCGTACTCCCTGCTTATCCCTCTTTTTCTATGTTTTTCTCCCAAGTCGACCTAGTTTGCAAAACTCTTATCTTGTCTGCTGGTCATCCGTGTTCCCTGTCACATTCATGACATCTACTCGCTGTGGCCTGCTAGCCGATGCACTTTCAAACCCCTTCAACCTGGTTTCAGTCGCTATAGTTGTGCGTCAAACGATCTGGCTCGATAACTCACTTCTGGTGCTCTTTGGACACTTGAAGTTCACACAAGGCTCTCCCTGAGCTTTCGACTCTTTGGAAACGTTGTTGCGGATGAGTTGACTGTCGGGGTCAGCATCTGAGAATCAAGTCACGAGGAGCAAAACAAAGCATATATCCTGACACTTTGTACTTTCAGGTGCTATGCTTTTTGGTGCCTTTTGTGATTCCTCTGCCAATTATGGGACTTGGCCTCTTTGCAGGCGAAACAAGCTGCATGGTTTAGAAGCATGTTGGTAGAGTACTGAGCATGAGGTGGACAGAGTAAAGAGAGGGTGACAATTCATTTTCATAATGAGAGTTTCCATCCAAGGGATTGATCATTCCATCCAAGCCTTCATGGATTTCAGGCTCAATCCAAGCATTGATCTTCTCCACCTTGGCTGCTGCGTACATCCATGAAGCTTTGGAGTGAGCTCACGAGCAAATGCGGCAACAGAACACACATAGGAACAGAACAGGTTGAAGTGGACTTCTCGAACGCTGTACATGGACCATGGACAGATGAGTGTCTTCATCCGTGTAAGTTTCAATAGTCCTATGAGTTGTTGAAGCTCAACTACACTTGAAGTGGAAGAGTTATCTCGATTCTCCAAGTGCCTGTCCGAGGCAGGGTGGTCTTCCAAATGGCACGTCCAATCACGAAGAGTTCGTGTGTTCATCATGATGTTGGATATTGGACTGGCCAAAGCAGGAAGCGCCACAAGGGATGCTAGTGAAGCATTGATAAAAGGAGATATGTTTTACTTTCATGGATCCATTTAAAGCTTTGTGGTGCTGTCTGAACATGAGACAGATTGAGTGACACATTCGTCGGCCACAAAAATGTGTGGGCTTCTGGGACAGTCATGGTCTCTTGCAAAGCCACCACCAACAACAATACAACTGCCACCACCATTGCATCCAAAGGCACGCTTCGACTACACGGAACAGACACCCAGAATGCCAGCACTTGTTCAATTTGACATAAAGATCCACTGTCAAACTTTTCCGAAGGCTGGAACACCTCCAATCCTTTTGCAATGGTAGAGTTTCTTGCTGATTCGTAACACTTGCATGACCAGCAGCGATGCGGTTGAGCAGATTTGTGTGACACTCAGTGAGCCCGCCGTGATCATGAAGTTTTGATGATTTGATGCCCTTCATGAACTTTTGTTTCCCGATTTGCTCTGCAAATGAGGCGCAAGCGCCGCCATCAGCTGAGGACATTTGTCTGGTAGCACTTGAACACGAACAAGTCATAACAAGTCCATATTCTCAACCCCCATGATGCCATTGCAAAACAATCTAGATTGAAGCGGAAGGTCCTGGCGAAGATTTGCTCATCTGGAGTGGAGGACATTCGTCGATTGAAGAATTTCTTTGCGAAGGCTACTGTGGCTACAAACCTGCTCAAGTCTCGCTTGGCCTTGCCCATTGCGTGCGCACGTATGTCTCACTTATTAGCGGGGTGCATGTCGGATATTTTCCTCTGATAGGTATCCTCTCAACGCAGCGATGATGCGAGAAGACAACAAAAACGCTCCACTGCGGCCAAGCGAGCACATGAAGGCTGAATAGCCGACCCTTGCCGTGTTTTCTTTTGCTTGCTGCTGCAAGGACAAGGTTAACGCCCTCAATAGCGACGAATGGAAGCTGAGACAGCAGGGACTGGCCCAGGTAATGCCCATTGTGGAAGGTATGTCTAAGGCGCGGGGTGACACCGGGTGACGTTTTGTTTTTTCTTGCAATCTGTATTTTTAAAGCCCGAGGGGGGGTAGGCCGCTAGAAGACTGTACATTACGAGAAGTCGAGTCCTTTGAAGCACAAAGGGTGCGAGAGACGGGCGGAAGGGATAGATATATTATATGCTGTGTGTATTATGTAAATTATATGTACTGACAGGCTTCGCCAAACGGCGACGCCTTTGGGGGGACTGCGCGTATCCGCAGGCTCTTTGCACAGCAAAATCGACGATTAGCAGTTAGCACAGCTTCGAACGCCTGCGCATACACACTCCCTCACAGGTGTGCGCACGAGGGTCTGATGTAAAAAGCCTGGCAACCTCAGCTTCAGACACACGTACGCACATGCACACCCGCGCACGCACCCACACGCACACGAACGCACACGCACTCGCGCGCACGCATGCGCACGAGCGCGCAAGCGCGCGCGCGCGACGGGCTCGGGCGCGGGCACACCCACTTGGCAAAGTTGAGCCACTTTTGCGTCAGCGAGCCCTGTGAACACAGATAGCTTTAGGCTAGACACGCCCAAAAATACAGTTGCTTCAGCGCTTTCCACGCCAACCTTATAAAAACGTCTTAGTTTACGTTGTTTTGTCCCCTTGCATGCTGCCTTTTTTCATTCGAACTTTGAAAAGCCCTAGGACTTTACAGCATTTTTCGCCTAGCCGTCAACCAAAAATAGACATCACATCAACAGTTTTCAGTTCCAACAAGGATCCAACATGATCAGCATCACCCGTTAGCAGCGTCAAGCATCACCAACATTATCGGATCTTCACTAGTCTCATCCGCCCAAAGCCATCAACGTGTAGAGACTCTCGAAGCCGTCTTGCATACTCTCTCCGCCAGTGGAAGTCATCTCGAACATTAAAAGGTGCTTTCTGTCCAAAGGTCTCCACTTTCATTGACAACTAGTAAACTACACAAACTCACCTAAATTTACAATGTTACAGTGTCATGTGCCTAGCCGTAAACCTAACAAAATCCTGAAAGCGGCCTCCAAATCCCCTAAGGAATTTGGCTTTTATGTGAACAATGCTGCTCGTACTCTGGTGATGCCAATGGTGCTCGACACAAGTGCTACCTCAAAACTTTCTCTCTCCTTTGCATACTTTCTTCTAGAAATAGAGCTTCATAGTAGCAATTTTTGCACATTTTCCTCTATTTTTGATTTTTCAATTAAATACATACGTCCTGGTGATGTTCAAAATGTCCGTTTGCGGCCGACATTTCTAGCACCACCTGGGCTTATACGGCTTCTTCAAACAAGTCACGAGTATAGGTGTAATATCGCAGTCAGGACTTTGTAAAGCTTATAGCTTCAAAGCCGTCTGTTCATAAATTACAAACATCTTGCAAACACACTAATTGACAGTGTTTTGCGCCTAGCCATGCGCCAAACCAACCCCTCAAAGCAGCCTCCCGAGCCCCGAAGGATTTGCATCTTTTTTGCTGAAAACGGTGCGGATGCTAATGATGCTCGACTAATATTTGTCTTCAAAACTGGTCTCCATTTTCAATGCTTTGTTTTCTAGAGGTTTTGAAGCTACAAGCTTTACAGTGAGTATGTTTCATCATTTTCATTTGTTTTGACGTTTTTTGACGAAGTCACATGAGCCCTGGGTGATGCTAGAAGTACGGGTCGGCGGCATGGAGCGCGTCTCATTTAGCAAGCTAGGGTTGATCGGGTTGACGGCACAGAATGGGCTGACGCCCAGGTGCCGCCGACCCCGTATGTTTTGGGGTCGGCGCTGAGAATACTGTTTCCTAGTCTTGTGAGGCACGTTGAAAACAATTTTTTGGGTCAATTATACTATATTACGAAAGCCAGCCGATAGGCTAGGCTGGCGAGCGAAGTGAGGAGGGGATGTGGGGGGGGGTGGTTGCGTAGCCGGTCTGGCTGGGTAGGGTGAACCCAGAGCCTGGTGGTGTGACGCGAGTGATGCAATTGACGCCGAATCATTAGCGTCGCGAGGGGCCCAGGAGGCTACTACTTAGACAGTCTTTCGGCAAGGGGTGGGAGTTCATGTCGAGGACTGGAAAGGGTGACCGGAAAAGAGGTCGGGGGCTCACCAGGAAAGTGAGATGTGCGTCTCTCAGCCCTTCATTTTCTTGGGGCCAATAAAAGTGGAAGGGGCCGCAAGAAACGATGTCACTGATGTCACCAGTAGAGGACTGGAGAGGGGATAGAATGCAGTCGGCAACCTTTGCGTTGTTTGGGCCCTTTTTATGGTGAAGAGGGGTGTTAACTGGATGAAAAAGGGTGCCCCTCAGAGCTATAGATGTCCAGGGGAGTTGGACGGATCGAAGTCTATCCTATGCCCACTAACGGTGGATGGGAGTTGACTCAGGCGTTGCGTATGCGGCTCTGGCAGGTCCAGCTTCAATGTTAGGCAAGCGCGTAATCTTGCCAGTCAACGTTCGTCGGTCCACTCCTGGCCGCGCACCGACTTTATGATTCCGATACAAGACGAAGAAACGAACGGCAGCCGAACACTCCCCCGCTCCTTGGGGGTGCCCTCTTTCAGCTTGAACACGCCCTTAAACCGCAAGAGAAAGCCCCCGCCCGAAGTGCAGGTGACCAGGCTAAGACTCTGCGCTGGCTAGAACCTCTTTCCCTTAGAGAAACCGTTCAGTCAACTCAGGAGAATATTTGTGGGCTTAATCCTTACCCCGGCGCCTTGAAATTGGATCTCTTGGAAAGACACAGAACGCCGTCAGGAACCTTTAAGTTGCTTGAGGGGCGCCCTTTTTGAAAGAGCCTTTTACCGGATGAAAAAGGGCACTCCTCTCTCTCTGAGCTATACATGTCCAAGATAGACCCGCCTTTCATACAAACCCAAGTCTATCTATCCTATGACAGCGCATGGCGAATGAGAGTTGATCCAGGCGTTATGTCTAAAGGCTCTGGCCTTCATCTTGTGTATATAGAGCCTACCGTATCCACCCTCAATGCAAGACTTTGCGCTTCTCTGCCTTCTATTTCCCCACGCCTGACAGCAGTTGAAGTGCGTTGTCGACTGTCGACTTCGCCCCATAACCACATTGATGTCTTCTTACGGAGGCTGGGTTTCGTCCCTCCCTTCTCAGGTATATAACAACATGACCAATGACTGTGTCAACGCAGGTGGCGAGAACATCGCCGAACCGACCTAAACTGTATTATACTACCGACCGGTGACTTAGGACTTGTGTGGGCCAGTGACATAGTAGTTGTGGCCCGCTACTCCTAAGTCATTGGGAACACAAAAGTTGCAGAGTTGCTGATTCAAGCCTCATGACTTGGGAATTGTCGCCAGCTGATGATTAAGCATTTTTTCAGGGAGGGTGGGGAACTGATGCACACAGAACAAATGACATAAGAATCGGCCTGCTCATCATGTTTCATCATGCGTCCTGGTACTTACAACTCCTATCTCACGTCATTTATTCATCTTTTTCCGGCAGCTTTCTGTTTTTTTTAAAGCTATTCTTGTGTGACCATCTTTTGATGTGTTTCTCTACTTTAAAGTCCATGACATAGTTGTGTACATGGCTCAAAAATGCTTTAAGACACATGACAAAGGAGTTGTAAAACCCACGATATGTTTTACAACTCCTTTGTCACTAGTCGAGAGTATATTCATTGTATCCTACGATTGGAACCTAATGGGAGGTCCTTCACCTGGTGTGTGTGTGGTTGCTTTTAAGCTGTCGTTTTCGTGGTCCATGCTGGGATGTGGTTGCTCAAAGGTTAGAACCGAAGGTCATCATGCTGACGCATAAGCAAGGCACTTAACCATCCTACCAAGCCACTTGGCCAAGAGAGCGCACAGATGTTGAACATAGATGAAAGCTGCTTCCCCGGAAACATACATTAGCTTTGCGTGTGATGCCACCCACTGTCAGTTGACGCGACGATAAATTCTACTTTTGTATGTTTTGAAACATCTAGAAGTTCTTGCAAAACTATTCCTACCTACCTTGGAATCTCTGCGCGCCCAAAACGACATCCACAACTTCACACAGCTTGCTGTACCTGCCAACTTCGACAGAGAGGGTAAGGCAGACACGCCAAGCCCGTGGTTGGAGAGGGTGCCAGAGGCAGCTTCGAGACCTGTGCAAGGCCACGGCCAGAGGCGTGGAACCTTAGACCCAGCAACAAAACCATAGGCAGAGGCCAAAGCCGGTTGAGTGGACACAGGCGAGCGTTCCACCCTGCGGTGTCCCAGGTGCCGCCCCGCTCAGTTTGGGCTGAGCAGGGGCCGGCGGAAATGTTTCCGTGACAGGTCATCATTTGACGTTTCCCCTAAGACACCGCTGGTGTCACTCTACTCACTGAAGGTGGCCACCGTGCTCAAAGCAGCTCAAGCACTGACTTACTACCAGGCCGGAGTGACACCAAGTTTCTCACATCGGCTCGGCCGGAGATGCGCATTGATGCTGCGTACAGCGATGGCAGGGTGGTGCAAAGCGGCATGTGATGCCAGATCCCAAAATGGATAAGGCTCGTGACGCTGACGATTCAAATGCATACCGCGCAAGCCTCGTGCCGCCAGTCAGAGTGTGACCAGGACAATGACATCCGCATCCATCAGATGCGCCCCACACGGGTGAAAGGCCGTTTCGTGATGTTGTGCTGTTCAAGACTGAGTCATAACTTTAGTTGCCTGCTTAATCGTTTTTGTTCCTTTCAATACTTGCACTACCACACAGCCATAGGTACCGTACATTGTTTTAATTGATTTGATTTTTGATGAATTTTGCCGCTCTTGTCATTTTTGTTCGCTTTCTCATGCTGTCTCATTTCTCACTCGCTGTTCCTTGCGCAGCTGCCTACGGCCGCGGACCGGGATGGATTGTCACGAAGACTGGCATGGGTCACGGCTGGGATGACGTGGGTACAGGTCCACCACTCAGAGGAAAAAACACTGCTATTATTCAAAACTATATCTAGCTATATATATATTATATTTCTCTTTGTCCAGCTGAAGGCAGAACCATGGAATTTATGTTGCGTATGGCAGGTAGGGTTGCAGACTCTCGACTGAACCGCGTGACGGTCGACCCCTTTGACGACACGTGCGGCTCTCTGCGTTAAGATCGTGATTAGGTTGGGTTTGCCAACCATCCATTTCAGAAGATGTCATAGGGAAGTCAAACACTTTTGATTGGCAGCAAGGCCGCACTTCTCAACGCAGCAGGGCAAGAAATTTGTGCGAAGCTCATTGTTTTTTTTAGTTTTGTTTCCACTTTGGTTATTTATCCCAGGTCTCCAAGACCAAGTGGAATCCACGGAAGAGCGGCTCCCAATAGTGAATGCAATGCGCCATCGTACAGTGCTGTAGACAGAGTCATAGGTTTTCAGACCCCAACAGCTTCACTTTTTGTGAAAAATAACTGGAAGCAGCCTTGGTTTGTTTGATCGAAATTTGGATTTGTGTATTTGGATGTTGCAATATATCAGGGAAGATATGAGCCATTGCTTTGGCTCAACACTCTTGCAGATTAGCGGATACACATGTACTTGTAACTCGCAACACTGAAGGTTTCCGTCAGACCCTAGTCTTTTAGGATTCTTATTTTCTTGTAGTGCATCCGGTGGCAAGACGAGGTGAGATGTAGATGCTGGATCATAACATAACCTGTCGGGCCTGTGGTGTTTACTTGATTGGCTACTAGTTGATTCTCTGTAGCAACGCCATGGCAACACAACTTTGATGGGAAGATGAGTCATGTGACGGATGCATGCAACAGAAACATGCTGAGCCGTCGGATGATCTGCAGGAATCTGCGGAATCTCCCAGTTCAGCTGGTGCAACCTCTCCGGACTTTGGACAGCCCCAGATCCTGGTGACACCCGCCAGCGATGTCACTGGCCTCCCAACACCGGATTTCGGGAACGAAAAAACGAGTGAGTCCAAAGCGAGTGAGACTCAAGGTGAGGAAGTTCAGAGGAGCGTTGATTCGCCAAAATTTGGCTTTGCAGTTCCTCCATCACCTGATGCCGAATGGGACACGCTCAAGCTACCAGAAGTGGATTCAGGACATGGAGATCAACACCCTTCCACACCTGATTTTGGAAGTCTGGGCCGCCACAACCCTTTCTTGGACCTCGGCAGTGCAGCTAGTAGCCCACAGGCCAGTCGTGAAAATAGCCCAGAACACTCAGCCAAACCCCGACTCTCTGTTGACATGCTACTACCCTCCCCGTCCTCTCCTAGTCGCGAGGGAAGGACACACTCGACAGATCGGAATGTTCGAACTCAAAAGGTCTCAGATCGGAAGTCTCCAGACTCAAAGACTTTCGACTTTGAGATTGATCAACAAAGGGAAGATGGTGATGACTTGGAAGGTCATGCAGAGAGTGCCGAGCTGCTACAGGAGTGCTTCAGACTGGATGAAGAACTTCAGAGCAAGAAAGAGATGCTCAAATGGTTCTATCAAGAGCTGGAGGCTACATCAGCCAAGTCCCTTGGTGGGTTGATAGACTCTTGAAGCCAAAAACGTTAATTTGCGGTGAATGATAGAGAAGGCTTTGAGTGTGCCTACCACCAGGTTGGAGACTTCCCGTACACATTTGGAAGAAAGTCAAGCATCCAGGCCTGGTAATTTTTAGATTTCCACTTTCCTGTGATCCCAGCTTTCTTGCTACAAATTTGCTACCCCTTGCCGACCAACATGCTTGCTCTCAGTACCTTGTAGCTTGCGGAGAGGTGTTTGCGGATCGACCGTCTGGTGCGAGAAGAAGAAACAATCAAACCCCTAGTAGCGTCCTCTTGTTCCTAGTAGCGATGCCAGGAGCCCCTAGTAGCATCCTTGCTCCTAGTAGCGTCCTCTTGTTCCTAATAGCTTCTTGCTCCTAGTAGTACGCGATGCCCTTTGCTCCTAATAGCTTCTTGCTTGGTACCAAATCAATTCTCGCCTCCAATGGAACCGAAAGGAAGATTACTGTACTAAGATTTGTGGAAACCTGGCTCCTCACTGAACGAATCGTAGTGTTTGTGAGGATCCATCTGGAGTTCTGGTGAATTGCAATGGCATTTTGATGATTTGTGATTAGTGGTGAGTTGTGGTAGTGTCTGGCGATGTGGTTCTGTGTGATAGCAAGGTGGTTTGTTGAAGCTGAGGTGATGTTCGTACTTTGTGGCGAAGTGCCGCCACTGTGTAGCAACCATAGTAACTGCAGTGCTAGATTGATCCAAGGTAAGTCGGGTGGTGACCTGTGGTGATTTGCGGCAAGTACGGTCATTCATTTGACTTTGAGGGGCAACTCACGTCGGACTCCCTGCAAAGTTTATGAAAGTTCCGGCCCTGGAATCTTGGCGCGGACCATAGTTGCATGAACCACGCATCAACACCATCCACCGCATTACACGGGGGTGGTAGGAGCATGCTTGGCTTCTTGCTCCGGAACCTTTCTGTTGAAGCCTGAAGCTATGCTCAGGTGGAGCTTTGCTTTGGACATTATGAGCATATAAAGCTCAGACAAGCTGGAAAGCAAAAGGACGAGGTGGACGGAACAGAGAACTTTGCGTTCTTTCTGAGGGTAAGCCCGCAATGCAGGATATTTTCGTGAGCCCGTTGCAAAGTGCAAGTAAGTCAGCAAGGGTATCCCTTCTGAGGGCGACAGTGGAGTGAGAAAAGAAGCCTTGTCGTCCTTTGTGCACCTGAGCAGAGTGATCGATACACCTTACAGCCAACTTGAGCTCTCCTGTTTCCGGTTCCAAAATTTGACTGCCTGGTGCGCGGGCAGTTTTGCAAGTTTGGACCAACTCTGCTGCCACGAATCCACCTCAGCTGCCTCAGTTCTCTCCTTACATGGCCCCAGTATTCCAAGGCTGTCCTGCTGACATGTTGATTGGAAGGGCACGCTTATAATTTCATGCTTCCAACCTAGCGGTGTCCTCCACCCTAGTAGCGATGGCCTCAACCTAAGATCGATGGCCTCCAAGCGCTTATAATTTCACGCTTCGCGCTTCTGGACTTAGATTGCCGAGAGCCAAAGTCGTGCTGCAAGGATTGCACCTATCTTGGTCCTCCCTGCTAGCTCACAACCGTCCGACCACAGAATTGCACTTGAACAACGCTCGATTGCTCAATCTACACTGGTGACATGGCTCCAGGTTCTGAGTTGCACTAGGTTCTGCAAGCTTTCGCTGTTCATTTCAGTGTTGCTGGCAGGTCCGAGTTGGCGGAAGAACTAGATGCTTCCTTGACGCTAGTTGAGAAGTTGGAAGGAAAACTGGAGAGGCCAGCTGGAGTTGAGTGCTTCACAAGAAACATAGATTGTTCTTGCTTAAAAGTGCCATGAGGCAGCTGTTTGTTGTATGAGGCTCCATGCTCAGGAGCACAGCAGCCAAGTGTTTGAGGACCACGTGAATGAGGCAGAAACTTTAGGCTGCGGTGTACTGACATGCGCAGAGGGCTTCATTCATTTCTTGCATGTTTTTGTTGCCCCTGGGAAGGCCAAAGAACTCCAGCTCAGTTTGCAGAACGAGGAAAATATTTGTCGAACTCTTCGCTTTGAACATGATGACTTGGCATCAGAGCTCCGAGACTTCCGCGAGAAACTTTGTGATGCTCAGCGCTGCTCAGCCGAATTCATCGCTCGAGCCTATCGAGTTGATGTAAAGGAAAGTGCATTTGTAGATTCTCAGGCACCAGGTGAGGGCGTTCTCAGGGTTAGCATGTTTGATCTGGCAACGCTACAGTACACATTTCTGAACGAGTTGTCAAACACGGCCTCTAGATGTTCAGGGTCTTGTACTGAAGGGCAATCATTGTACTAGATGAGTAGCGCAAGGCCATGTCCTTTGCGTTCAGGTACAGCAGAGGAAGCATCCAAGCTTCGCATTTGCAAGCACGAGGCTGCTACTTTGGGAGAAGCTTTGGAAAAAGCAGAGGCATGATTGTTGTTTGAAGCACACGGACTGCGCAATGACGGTGCATGCTTGAGTGGAGTGCTTCCTGCTGCTTGTTTTACAAGGGCAATGGACTTGTTTTGAACCAACAAACACTTGAGAGGCGGCCTTGAGAAAGGAGCAGGCAGATTCATTCGAAAGAGCCGCAGCCTTGAGAACAGAGGTGGGATTTGCAAGTCGACGCACTAAAGATAGGAACCAAGTGTTGCAGTGAGAAACAAAGAGTGAAACATCAGTCCGGGTCCAGGACTCTGACCTCTTTGATGAGCTGGCACACACTCAAGCCCAACTCAAGCAGTCGCGTTTGGACTCCGCACAACGGCTTGCAGAGATGAAGGAATTGGAGGTGCAAGCACGGCCAAGTGAGAGTGGTGGGTCTCAGATTGGGTGGTTGAGTTGGCTTTGCCTCAGGATAGCTCCGCCAAGGAAATGTTTGCTGCAATGCAAGCGCTTGCGGAGTTTGGCACTCAGTCAATCAGTAAATTCGCTTACACCTCGCATCACCTCGCTATAAATATAATATTAATAATATATAACAATATAATATATATATATAATATAATATACATACATACATATCATGTCCTTCTTGTCCGCTGTTTGAAAAGTTTGTGGAATTCAAGGTCAAATGCAGAAGTTGAAGCAGCAACAGCTTCGGAATGGAAGGCAGACGCTGCTTTTGAGCAACTGGCAGATATGTCTAGGGAGCTTTCCGACGACCCTCGACTGCACAATGTTTCAAGGAATCTTTGCACTTGTTTAGTTTCACAGCAGCTAATTTTCGTTAACCTTGCTTTGCAACACATTACAGCACAACCGCCTTGAATTTAGCAGCCTCGTGCAGCCTCAACAAAGCAGTGCAAACAATCGGGCGTCCCGTGACTGCTTGCATGTTCTGCTGTCGACGTGGTGCACATGTCTGCAAGATCCCCCTCAACGTATCAAGATTAAACCGAGCAAACGCTGCTTCGCAACAATACCAGAAATGACCTCGACCTCGACGTACACACATATAAACTATGTATACTGTATATTACGAAAGCCAGCCGATAGGCTAGGCCGGAGTTGTCGATGGGCGCACGAAGTGAGTATTAGGGGGTGTGGGGGTTGCATAGGGGAACAATTTGGGTAGGGCGAACCCAGAGCCTGGTGGGGGAGAGCGAAAAAAAGAGGCGGGAGGCTATTTAAACAGTCTTCGACCAGAATGGGAGTTCATGTCGAGAACAGGAGAGTGGGACAACGGGACGTTGGAACTCCTTCAGGAAAGTGAGATGTGCGTCTTTGAGCACACTGTTTTGTTGTGGCTAATATGAGTGTAAGGGACTGCAAGAATCGATGTGATCCGTTGAGGACAGGAGAGGGAACAGAATGCAGTGGGCAAGCTTTGAGTTGCTTGGGGGCGCTCTCTTTTGATGATGAAGAGGCCTGATAACCAGACGCAAAAAAGGGCACCCTGTTTGGGGTAGGAGTTCATGT